GGTACCCTCGTGCCTCTCACTGAGGGGTTGGCACTCTCTTCTGCCCACTGAGCAAGGACTGGGCAAAGAGGGTAACCTGGGGGTTGAGAGGGTAATGATGGGATGCCCAGAGACAGATGGAATTAGCCATCTCCAAGAGCCCCCAGGAGAGCCCTGCACTGGGCAGCAGGGAACCCAACTGTGCTCCAGGCTCGCTGTGTGACCTTGGGCAAGTTGCTTGTCCTCTCTGAGCCAATGCAAAATGAGGAGGCTTGTCGCTGAAGACTAAAACTGTGACATCTGGGATGTCTAAGTTGTTAGTGCTGGAGGCGGTGTGGTGGTGGTGACGGTGGGGGGCTTGCACAGTGGGAAACTTGGAACCAAGGAAGATGCCCTAAAAGAGCTGAGTCTGGGGAGAGGAAGTGAAGGCAAGAGTTTCAGGTTCTCTGAATCGAGAAGGACACTGGATGGGACAAAGACAGAAGTGCATCCCTGGAGGAAGGCACTGGGCCACTCGGGTGAGTGTAGACCTTCTTCTGCCCTTCCTGGCAAAAGACCTTCATCCTGTCTCCAGAATGAAGGGGCATCAGATACAGGAGATGGATGGAGAGGGAAGAGAGGCCCTCGAAGGGCCCTGCTCCCCACCCCACACACCTGCTGGACATACAAGGGATACCTGCTTGCCCGTCTTCACAGGTGGGGAAGGGGGTAAGAAGGCATAACTTGGAGCACAGAGAGGGGCAGTGTCAGGAGCAACTTAGACTTCTGGACTTGCTCAGAATGGTAGACTCACGTTCAGTGAGGATGCACTATTCCACGGGACTCCATGGAATCCTCATGAATCTTGGGCTCATAAAAGCAGAGAATATGAGACCAAGACTCCCTGGAATATAACGTTGCTAGGGCCCCTTCACTCAGCCCCTTTGTTTTGCAGCCAGGGAAACTGAGGCCCTGGGCTGAGAGGTGCTTGCCTAAGGGTGTGTAGAAGCCAGGCTTGGAATCTCCAAGGCCAGTCTCAGCTCCAAGATCTTGCCCCGACATGGAGTTCTGGAGATGGTCGAAGAGGGCGAGGAAGTTTGGGATGTTTCTGGGGGAACCTGAGGGTTCTGGGTAGGAAGGGGGATTGAACAGGCTGGACCCAGTGTGTCCAGAGTGGGCAGACCTGGGATTTCAGGCCAGCAGCCCTCGGCTGGGGAGCAGCGGGGACGGCCGGAGAGACTTGCTCAGGGAAGCTGGCTCCAGCCGCCCAGCACTCCAGGGTGGGCAGGAAGTGGGTGCCAGCCAGGAAGGCAGAGAGAGCCCTTGGCTTCGGGTTCACCCTCTGCCTCATATTTCCCCGTCTATGAAAGGGGTTTCACACTTGCGGGAGAGGATAGGGTTCGATGACCTATCTCCTTTAGAAGAAGAGCTGACCCACAGCAGCATGAATCGAGGTTAGCAGCTTTGGTGGCGTAGTGCCTAAGGCATTTGACTGCTAACCAGAAGGCTGGTGGTTCTCGGAAGGAAGGTTGGGCAATCTACTATCCATAGTGATACCACCTCGGAAACTCAAGGAGGGGTCACTATGAGTCGGATCCAACTCCACAGCAGTGCGTAGTTTTGTTTTTTTTTTAATTAGGAAGAACTTCCTTTGAAGAATGTTGTTGTTAACCAGATGGGGTCTGCCTGGGTCTCTGTTGTAGTCAGGGTCCAATCTCCTGATCAGGGTCACCCTCATTGCCTGAGTCTTTGGCTTGTCCTCTCCAAGGTGGGCTCCAGTTTTCAGCTCCCAATGAAGGAGAATGCAGCCCTGAGACCCTCAAAACCAAGGTTGGCGCTGGCACCTGTCGGGCCACAGGCAGTTATGTCACCTTCCTCGGAAGAGCCAAGGCTGACTCCGGCGTCTCCGCGACCCATCCTGGCACGACTGTCTACCCCCGGGGGACAGAAAACATCTCCTGCCGGCCGAAGCTCCAGCTTGGCTCCAACATCTGTAGGCCACCTGGTGATGTCTGCCTCGGCTGGGCCAAAGCCTCCCCCAACGACCTCAGGTTCCATCCTGGCTCCGGCCTCCCTGGGGCAGCTAGTGATGTCTGCCTCAGCAGGACCCAGGTCTCCCCCAGCCACCTTGGGGCCCAGTCTGGCTCCAGCTTCCAGGGACCAGAAGCAGGTGCCACCCAACTCCATGGGACCCAAGCCAGCACTGGCAGCGTCGGGCCTGAGCCTGGCTCTGGCTTCGGAGGAGCAACACCCACTATCCCCCACCAGCCCCTCCTTGCTGCCTACTCCAATTCTGTCACCCTCTCAGGAACAAGCCCCAGCCCCAACATCCATGACATCAGCCCCTGCCTCTGTGGGATGGACACCTGCTAGACAGAGGGATGCCCCAGCCCTTAGACCTCTCCCTTCTGAGGGGCATCTCCAACCTCCAACTCAGGCATCTGGTCCTGTGTGCTCTCCATCCTCAACCCAGGCTCCTCCAGATCCCCGGTTCTCCCCTTCCTTCCGAGCCCGGCCCGAGGCCCCCCGCAATAGCCCTGAAGATCCTGCCCTGCCGCGACCACCCCAGACTCTGCCCCTGGATGTGGGCCACAGCCCTCCAGAACCTGGCACCCGCTCCCCTGGACTGCTGTCCCCCACCTTCCGGCCGGCGGGCCTCTCAGCCCAGACAGTACCCCCACCTCTGCCCAAACCACCCAGGTCTCCCAGTCGCTCCCCTAGCCGCTCCCCCGGTGCCCCCCTGGCTTCTGAGATGGCCCTCCCCAGGCCTGGAATCCAGGCTGCAGGGCCTGACGGGCACCTGAGCCCCAGCCTTCAGCCTCGGGAAGCCCCAGCCCCGATCACCACCTCTCCTCCTATGTCCACCTCATCATCCTCCTCTTGGTCAGCACAGCCTACCTGCAAGAGTGACCCTGGCTTCCGGTGAGGGGCCCCCCTCTCCCAAGAAAGGGGGGGAGGGGCTTGAGCTCTGAGATTAGCAACCATTCTTATTCTGCCTCAGTTTGCCACCCTGAGGAAGAGTCCTTGGGGGTGCTAAGCCCACTCTGGGACCCTCTAAAGACAGTATCCTCTCCTGAGGGAATTCTCCAGGGAGAGTCCAGAAGGCGGGATGGTGGGTCCCCTGTGAGCGTCTGAAGGCTTTCACTCATGCCTGCCTCAAGTTTACTTCCCCAAAGAAAGCCCTGTGGGAGGGGGGTTGAGGGTGAACGGAGTGGTGCCCAACAGTAACCCCTCCTGTGCCCTCGCCCCCAGGATCACTGTGGTCACGTGGAACGTGGGCACTGCCATGCCCCCCGACGATGTCACGTCCCTCCTCCACCTGGGCGGCGGTGAGGACTGCGACGGTGCCGACATGATCGCCATAGGGTGAGGGAGCAGGGGATGTGGCCTGCCGCCCCCCGCCCCTCGGACCCCTAGGACCCCCCGCCCATGGGAGGGGCTTCTAGAGTGTCCTCCAACCCATCGCACCCCCCCACCCCCACCTAGGCTGCAGGAAGTGAACTCCATGATCAACAAGCGGCTGAAGGACGCGCTCTTCACGGACCAGTGGAGCGAGCTCTTCATGGACGCGCTGGGGCCCTTCAACTTTGTGCTGGTAACGCCCCTTCAGGCCCCGGACTTGCAGAGACCCCGCCGGATTCCTGGCCCCGGCTCCGCCTCGAGTCACTGCGGGCCCGCGGATCTCTGGCGCTGGGTCGGTGAAACGGGAGAATGGAGGAGCAGACCAGAGAGAAGGGGGGGACGAGTTGGGGGAGTTGTGTCCCGCTCTCCACCTGCGCCGCCTCCCGCTGCAGGTGAGCACCGTGCGGATGCAGGGAGTCATCCTGCTGCTCTTCTCCAAGTACTACCACCTGCCCTTCCTGCGGGACGTGCAGACGGACTGCACGCGTACCGGCCTGGGCGGCTACTGGGTGAGCGAGAGCCGCCGGGGCGGGCACAGGGCCCGAAAGGGATCGAGATTACCCCTCCCCCCACCCACCGACGAAGTCTTCTCGCCTGGCTCCACCCCTCCCCCCTTGGCCCGCCCCTCTCCAAGAACCCAAACCCACTGCCTTGGAGTAGAGCAGAGTAGAACTCCCCCGTAGGTTTCCAAGGCTGTAAATCTTTGTGGAAGCAGGCTGCCTCATCCTTCTCCTGCAGAATGGTTAGTGGGTTCAAACCGCCGACCTTTAGGTTAGGGGCTGAGTGCTTCAACTACTGCGCCGCCAGAGCTCCTCCTTGCCCAATAATCCACTCCGTTTCCCTGGGGCCCGCCCCTTTCTGTCCTCGTCCTTTCCCAGGACCCGCCCCTCTGGGTGCCTGGTTCACCGGTTGGCTGGCCCCGCCTCTCCACAACCTGCTCTGTGCCCCACCTCCTTGCTTAGGTCCCGCCCCTAACTCTCCCACACCTGCCTCCCGGCTAGGGCAACAAGGGCGGAGTAAGCGTACGCCTGGCAGCCTTTGGGCACATGCTCTGCTTCCTCAACTGCCACCTGCCGGCGCACATGGACAAAGCGGAACAGCGCAAAGACAACTTCCAGACCATTCTCAGCCTCCAGCAGTTCCAGGGGCCTGGGGCTCACGGCATTCTGGACCACGAGTATGCGCTGGGGCGGGGCCAAATGGACCTGGGGCGGGACTAGTGGGGGAGAGGCGTGACTAGTGAGGGAGGGGCGGAGCCTCAGAGAAGAAGCTCTCAAACTTGCAACAAAAAACCGGAGTACTGGCTTGCATGAGTTTGGTGGGAGCAGGTGGAATCAAACGGGGTGGGTGGCCCCCCCAAACTACATATAAGAATAAGAATAAGTAAGTTTGATGAGGAGTGGCGAGGCCTGTAGGGTCGAGCCTTGCTGATTGAGGGGCAGGGCCTCGCTGAGAGGCGGGGCCTAAGTTTCCTCTAGACCCTCTCCCTGTGCCGCTGTTTGAAAGGCTGGAGTTTCTGGCGCCCCTCACCCACTCACTGCAGAGCCGGGAGGTACGGTTGGGGTTGGGAGGGGTCCAAGAAGGGATCTGAATCGACACCTTCCGCCTCATAGACGCCACTGATTCCCACCATCCAACAGCCTAGTGTTCTGGTTTGGCGACCTGAACTTCCGCATCGAAAACTATGACCTGCATTTTGTCAAGTTCGCCATCGATAGCAATCAGCTCCACCAGCTCTGGGAGAAGGACCAGGTGTGGGATCCACGTGCACCCCCAAATCCCTAAGTAGACACAGCACGCCCCAGGACACACCTGTACCTCTCAGCTGTCGTCCTTCCCTCCCCTGCCCTGGGCACCCTCACGGACTTGAGCTCTAGAAGTTGGGGAGGAGCCTGGCCAGGCTGTTCTCCAATTCTTCCTCTTGAACTCTCACAGCTCAACATGGCCAAGAACACCTGGCCCATCCTGAAGGGTTTCCAGGAGGGACCCCTCAATTTTGCGCCCACCTTTAAGTTTGATGTGGGGACCAATAAATATGATACCAGGTGAGCAGTGGGCTGGGGTGGGGCATGGACTGAGGTCTTTTGGAGAAGGAGACTTGGGAAGAGGGACAGGAAGCGAGACTGGGGCTGTGCCTTGAACCTCAGGCCCTGAAACTCAGGCTACCCCTGCCCTCTACAGTGCCAAAAAGCGGAAGCCAGCCTGGACAGACCGCATCCTGTGGAAGGTCAAGGCTCCAGGTGGCGGTCCCAGCCCCTCAGGACGGGAGAGCCACCGGCTCCAGGTGACCCAGCACAGCTACCGTAGCCACATGGAGTACACAGTCAGTGACCACAAGCCCGTGGCCGCCCAGTTCGTACTGCAGGTGAGTGCTTCAAGTGACATCTTTAGGCCTAGCTTGGCATCCTACTGCCCACCAGTAACCCCTTGCACTGGCCCTCAGCAGCATCCATTCATTGTAGAGGACTGGGAGTGGGGTTATGATCTCCAATTGCAGATGAGGACATTGAACCTCAGAGACACAACAGCATTTGTCCAGGGTTACACAGCTGGTAAGAGAAAAAGTTAGGATTTGAACCCAGGTCAGTCTGATTTCAGAGCCCATGTTCTGGTGGTGCAGCTGTTATGCACTCAACTGCTAACTGAGATGTTAGTAGTTTGAACCCACCCAGCCACGCCATAGGAGAAAGACCTGGCAATATGCTTTCGTAAAAGATTACAGCCGGAAACCCCTAGGGGGCAGTTCACCTCTGTCACATGGGGTCACTGTGAGTCAGAATCAACTTGATAGTACCTAAGAACAACAACCACAACAACTTCGAGTAGTCTTCTGTATCTCCTTCCTTCAGAGAAAGATTTAGGGCCTCTTCTGTTAAAATTCACATAGGAAATAAAGCCAGTGAGATCAAAACGTATACTCTAATCCCAGATAGCGTTCATTCATTGTTTACTGAATACTTACCATGTGCCAAGGAGCTCTGGTGGCACTGTGGTTAAGCATTGGGCTGCTAACCAAAAGGTTGGTGGTTCGAACCCACCCAGCCACTCCGCAGGAGAAAGATGGGGCAG